TAGATCAGTTGCCTTGTGAGCTACAGTTTGATCTACTATAGATGTATATAACCCTAATATGATTCATATTATAGCCTAATTCATTCCAATGTGCCTTTTGTTAGGAATACTAACAAAACCCATCAAACTGCTAGACCTCCCAGTATAAGCCAACTAGAAATCAGTAAGCCTTTTTTAACCCTAACAAGCATCCGAATGTTAAAACTTCATTTATAACATAACTGAAAGCCATATTAGTCTGACAGAAATCCTAACTAAACATACTAGCTGTTACCATTCCTATTATAACTTACTTGTTATGATTCATTTTATGACCTAGCTAAACATACTAGCTGATAGCATTCCTATTATAACTTACTTGTTATGATTCATTTTATGACCTAGCTAAACATACTAGCTGTTAGCATTCCTATTATAACTTACTTGTTATGATTCATTTTATGACCTAGCTAAACATACTAGCTGTTAGCATTCCTATTATAACTTACTTGTTATGATTCATTTTATGACCTAGCTAAACATACTAGCTGATATGGAGGCTTTTGTCATTATCTGGTTGGACACATACACAGTTTTATTTCCACTCCAATTGCAGTTTATTTTAACCCTTTCAGTGCAGTTGGGTTATGTTTGTCCCAGCATATGTAAAACTTTGATTAACAAATGTTCTTGCGTTACTTTCACCTTAGAATGTATGTATAACATGTTTCCATAAATAGCTGCTGTAAACACATGTAATCCAAACAAATGACTCCATGCAAATTTCAGACACCGTACATGGAAACAAGTACCAAAAATACAGGAAGTATTACACGTATATGCATACTGGGCTATAAAGGTGTACATATATCCTTTCTATTTTAATAATAGAAAGATCTTACTGAAAAGGTTACCATAAAATCACAGTTTCAGGCTTATGTTTTAATGTGTTTGAACAGATCTTACCGTTTGAGAACAATTTATTTAAATACCTTCTTATAATGACATAATTTAACACCAAATCTTCTCAGTAATGTTTCTATTATGTACTATTTAAAGGCAGCATCCTTTTACTAGGTATTATATCTTAGTTAAAAGTAATAACTTCTCGTTAAGTCTTCTGTCATCATTTATTTTAATACAACATCATCTTGGTAGGGATTAGTTTATGAAATATAGTTTGATAGGCCTTTCCATTATACAGATTCATCAAATACCCTAAATAAATACATAACGTTACTTTCAGATTTTTTCCCCTTTTGGCTCGACGTCACGTTATTATAATTTCTAAGATGGTTTGGACCACATAAAAAACTCTTTTATCACGAGTCTGATTATGACATAAACCAATATAATATTTGAATGCAATATTTGTTTGTCACAAATCTTATTTGGACCTAAATAGATGTGACTGATAATTTTCAAGACACATATGATAACATGAATAAACGTAGGTAGTGTTTATTTAGGTACGAACTGAATCAATGAAAAAATATATAAAGAAGGGCGTGTGTTCTGATCAAGTTGAACTCAACATTCTCTTCTTTGGGCTTTTATTATGATCTTGTTTAATTCAAGTATCATGTTGTTAGAGCTCGTGTTACCATCCACAATGTGGGTCAGGAGTTGCGAACCTATCACTAGCCTATCAAGAGTGGCACGAGGTCAGGGGTTGCGAAGCTATCACTAGCCTATCAAGAGTGGCACGAGGTCAGGGGTTGCGAAGCTATCACTAGCCTATCAAGAGTGGCACGCTAACTGATTCTTCTAGCAGTATTCGTAAGTGATACTCAATATTAAGTGATAATTCCGCACAATCCTGCCAATAATATGGCTTTTGACTATGATTCTAATAAACACAAAGTGTCCCTTTTTAACGCAATATCATCAGGTGGAGCTAATGATACAGCAAACAGTTTTTTTTTTAAACCTAAAACACGATACATTACCGAATTCATATTGCGAATTTGTTTGATATCATATACATTTATAAGTTTTCTTAATAAAACGCATTTTATTGCAAACTTTATTTTTGGTAACATTCTTTTAGCGAGCAAGTTGAACGCATAATTTCTCCAGTATCGGCTTTTTATTATAACACTGCATTATTCCTTCGTTAGTTTTTCTATTGTGACTAGTCAGACTTTACAATTTGTCATGAGTATTACTATTATGGGTTGTTAAAATAAAATATAGCATTCAGAACCAGCACTTTGACCTGGTAAACAGTACGTTTTCTTAGCGGACCGGACGTACCCACTTGGTTAGCGTGCTTGATTGTGTATCTGAGGGTCAATGGTTTGAATCCCTTTGCCTCAAAAGAAAATCAGGCTTTGCACTTTTGGGGCGTGTGGATGAATTATAAGAGTGACGGTCAAATCTAACTAATCGATTAGAATAGCCCAAGAGTTGACAGTGGGCGCTGTTAAGTAGCTGACTGTTAACGCTTTCATTACGTGTTAAGTAAATGCAACATATCCTTTTTAATCAAAAAAAAAATGCCCCATATTGTACAACATTCCATTAATAGCACCTTATTTCCTAATCGAATGAAAATTTCTCTTCTCAAGACTTTTATGTCGTAGATAAAGGCATTATTCGAAGGTAAAAGGCATTATTCGAAGGTAAAAGGCATTATTTTCCCATCCTACTTGAACTCAACAAACACTTTTTAGGACTTCTGATAAGTTTAGATGAAACATCTTGTTAGGAATTTTAATCTATGGTTGTTAAACTCAACGACCTCTTTAATGGGGAACATCTTATTGAGATCCATTAGCCTTTAATATTGCCATTCTATCTTCTGTTATTAACTACTACAAAGCGAATTATCCTTTTGTAGACTTTACTTGTTACACCTCGATGCAATATATATTTTTTAGGACTGCTATTATAAACTTTTCTGCTGTTTTGAAACTGAAGGTGACATATATTTCTTATGGTTTTTATTATGATCTAATGGAATAAACATTTGATGATAATTATAATCAGGTTGAGAATGAAATATCCTAGTTAGATG